TAAGAAATTAATTCTTCTATTTCTTTGTGAATTTAATCATAGCATAGAATGTGCAATCCATACTATTCTTTTAAATAATTTTATTGTACTAAACTAATAACCCAAATATGTATATACAATGTTGAATTATGAATAATATTAATTAAAGAATATTAGCTTCAATCTTAATAACAATAAAAAAGAGGAGGAAAAAAGAAGAAAAAGTCAGGCCTGGAAAATTAAATTATAAGCAGAACCATTTCCCAATTTTTTATTAGATTGCTCAGAATTCTTTTTTTCTTTATCCTATTACCCAAATAACCAAAAATCAACTATTGATATATATATAGGTAGTCCTCGACTTACAACAAAGTTTGCTTAGGGACCATTCAAAGTCACATCAGCACTGAAAAAAGTGACTAATGACCATTTGTCATACTTAAGACTGCAGCATCCCCATGTTCACGTGATTTACATTCAGATGCTTGACAACTGACTCACATTTATGATGGTTGCAGTGTCCCAGGGTCATGCAAACTTCTGACAAGCAAAATCAATGGGGAAACCAGATTCACTTAACAACTGTGTTACTAATTTAACAACTGCAGTGATTCACTTAACGAATGTGGCAAGGAAAGTCATAAAATGGGGCAAAAGTCACTTAACAAATTTCTCACTAAGCAACATAATAAATTTTGGACTCAACTGTGGTTGAAATTTTGGACTCAACTGTGGTATTTGATAGGTAATGATAGGTAATGTATATCAATAATACATTGTTGCAGATCAAATGTATATTTTCCTTCTACAGTTGTGTAGTCATTCTGTTAGTCAACCCCTTTCTCTGACTAGTCCATACTTCTTAGTAGATCAATAAATTCCAAATAATAGCAGTAGCATCTTTACATTGAGCAGTTGATCCAAAGTCATATTAATAATCCTGTTCTCATCAAATGTTACAATAATCAGAGAAGACCAAATCACATGAGTTAAAATTCCAATTCCTAAACTGTACTTCGAACAACAAAGTGGTAGTAATCCACTCTTATTAAATATTCATTGAGGTGTACAGCAGCGTTCCCCAACGTTTCCAGCTTTGTGGACTGGTGGGGGAATGATTGGATGGTTTGCGCACATGCATGTAGCTCCATTTGCACGAGCAGCGTGCACACACACCTACCACTCATGCAAATGGAGCATGTGTGCCAGGGGTGGGTTGTAATTACCTTTACTACTGGTTTGCAACCGGCCGCACAGAAGCTTTCTGATGATGTCGGGGTCGGTGGGCGGAGCCTCCTGTCAGTTTTACTACCAGTTCTTGCGAACCGGTCCGAATCGGGGGCAACCCACCACTGATGCGTGCACTCACCTGCTGCTCACACAAGTCAGGATGCGCATGCCTGGGTGCGCACTCGCCTGCCATTTCCACAGCCCAGTTGCAAACCCCTCATGTTGGGGACCTCTGAAGTAAAGCATATATAAAGCTAAATTTATGATTGTACTAGCTTCATTTTAAAGTAGTAGGAAATTATTGTACATCATTTAAAGTACTTTGTCATTTACCAAAACAGGACATTGAGTCTTATTATACTCTAGAAGTTGCATGTACTTACTATCAATTTTATTTACTTATAAAATATGTTATTGATTTAGGAACCACACTCCATTCTTAACTTCTATTATTTAGAAGTAATATAGACTCTGAACTAAAGAAACTGAGTAATAGTTTTGTTGGCCCATTTGTTAAGTGAATCACTGCTGTTGTTAAGTTAGTCAAACAGTTGTTAAGTGAATCTGGCTTCAACATTGACTTTGCTTATTGGAAGGTCACAAAAGGTGATCACATGACCCCAGGACTCAGCAACGATCATAAATATGATCAGTTGCCAAACTTCTGACTTTTGATCACCATGAGAATGCTGTAACGGTCGTAAGTGTGAAAAACAGCCATAAATCACTCTTTTCAGTGCCATTGTAACTCTTCACAGTCATTAAATAGTTGTAAGTCAAGGACTTCCTGTACTTTTTGTTTTATATTGACTGGACACTGACCTTAATAAACAATAAAGGAATGCAGGCACTCTTCCTCTAAACAAAATCTTTAAAAACAGACCTGTACCAGTGGTGGGTTACTACCGGTTCGCCCCTGATCAGGTGAACTGGTAGCGGCGGTGGCGGGAGGCTCTGCCCACCCGGCCGGACACTTGCACACAAGCAAACCAGCAGCAAACTAAATTGAAACCCACTACTGCCTGTGACTATTCTTTTTTTAAAACATCAGCAAGTATTTTATGCAAATTCAGAGATAATTTGCCCCAGCTTTTTAAACTCATGAATATTGGGATCCAAATGTTAAGATGATGGCTGAAAGGCAAGTGTTTAGATTTGAAGTATGTTCTGACAATCAGACATATTTTATTTTATTTATTTTATTCATATTTATATGCCCCCCTTCTCCCGAAGGACTCAGGGCAGCTCACAACAATAAACAACAAAACAATAAATTAATGCTAAAATAATCCAATTAAAATCCCCAACAGTTAAAACTAAAAACTCCCAGCAGATCAGGAGATTTGCTGAAAAAGCCATGTCTTCAGGCCACTGCGGAAAGGTCGGGGGCCATCTGGAGCTCAGTGGGTAATTCATTCCAGAGGGTCAGTGCAGCCACAGAGAACACCCGCATCCTGGGCATCACCCAGGAAAGCGGATCCGAAGGACCACCGGCAACCAGTGCAGCTCACGCAGGAGAGGTGTAACACGGGAGTAACGGGAGGCTCCCATAACAACCTGCGCGGCCGCATTCTGGACGAGTTGGAGCCTCCGGGTGCACCACAAGGGCAGCCCCATGTAGAGGGCATTGCAGTAGTCCAGGCGAGAGATGACGAGAGCATGAGTGACTGTACAGAGGGCATCCCCATCTAGGAAAGGTCACAACTGGCGCACCTGGCGAACCTGTGCAAAAGCCCCCCTGGTCACGGCCATCAGATTGTTAACTAAGGATAGCTGTGAATCCAGGAGGATGCCAAGATATGCATACATTTGGAGATTTTGTTGGTGCCAAGAAAGTTGTCAGACAGTGGTTCTTTGAATTCCTAGTGTGTTTTACGCTAGATCAAGTTATGTGAGCCTTAAGTCATATGTCCCTTACTCCAAATTCTCCCACTAAAAAAATTCACATAATACAACAGAAATTACAGGTAGTCCTAGACAGTTTGTTTAGTGACTGTTCAAAATTACGTCTTCACTGAAAAAAGACTCTCAGAGTAGATGTGGAGAAATGAAGGAGAAGCTAAGGGGATGAGATGAATCTGATGTACAGTGTTGGCTACCTTCAACCTATGTTCTCTTCCAATATTCCATGGTCTCTTAGATTAGATAAATCTGAAAAGAATCTGTTGTTGTTGGTAAAGATATATTTGTAAAGAATAATCAAACTCGTACATCTCTCTCTTGCCCCCTCAGATAGAATTTCTTGATTTAAGAATTAAATTGTAAGTCTTGTTAAAAATGTATCAACACACATTTTTCTGTCATCATTTAGAAATAGGAAAGAGTGAAAACTGGCCAGTTGATTAGCCAAGAATCCAACTTGACTGGCGACTTGCCATATTTGTTTCCTAGAAGGAATTTCCTCGGAGAATGCTGGCTGTTTTGTATCTATGGGTAGAAAGTTGATGGAACTCTTTGTTATACTTTTCTGCATTTCAAATGTGAATTTATAATTTTTTTGTGCAAGTTGCCTAAATCCTTAGTTTAAGATGCAAACCAAATTAAATCATTAGATGTATATGGACAGATGGTATCATCCTTAGAAATTGGTTCTTTGATTCTACAGGAACATTTTCAAAATTTCCTTTTATGTTATTTCTCATTGCCAGAGCAGTAGTTATGCCATTTCACCACCATATTAGTTCATTATTTGTTTTTAATGGACATTGCCTAATACATGAAAATGCTTTTCTAAAACTAAAAACCAAGAAATAATTTTTGTTTCAAAAATGTTTCCTAGTTAAATACAGAAGCATAATTTAAATCATGCATTTAATTAAGGTATACAATTATAATTATATACCTTAATGTTTAATGAAGATACATTCAGGCATAATAAATACTACAGTTTAATATTTTAGCTTAGAATATATAACTCATTTATTCTTTGAATAATTCAGTTTCTTAATTTTTTTTTAAAAAAATATCACCTAAGTGAAATGTCAGGGAATTTTTAACAAACCCCTTCTTCTTTTTAAGCCTTGCTTTTTTGAGTACACTCTCTTTAGTATTTCACTGCACTGGTGTTCAGGAAGGCACTGTAATTTTTGATAGGAAAAGGTGATCATGAACATACATGCCTTGTTACTATTTAAATTATGCAGATCTTGATGCTGTGAAAATTTGTGCTTGATGACGCCAAGGCAGCTGCACGTTGTTAGCATTGTAGGCTGTCAGATGATCATGTGGGATTCTTGCAGTATGCAACATTCAATAGGATTGAAAAGGGCTTTTGATGCAAGGCATAGCTTCTGAATATATTCGTGCCTTTTAGCTCCTTACTACAGCAAACCAAGCCTCCCTTTAAATTTTAAAATGCTGCCTCATTTTTCTTCTGGTTGGTTTCATTTTGGCTTCACTAGAAGATGCCTCTGGTACATCTACGATTGAGGAGTTTATTAATGCTACTGTTGTTCAGTTCACTTTCTTTTCTGTTAGGCTCCTAGCTAGCACACAAGTGACATGATCGCACATTTCTTCAGCCACCACCATGCATGGTTTCTTCCTCTGCCTTCCCTGCATTGTTCCCTCTGTTAAGTTGCACTGTCATGTTCTCCTTTGCTATTAAGCCTTGTTTCTGTCTCTTTCCTTCTTCTGTTGTTTGCTATGACATTTTCCCCATGTTTGGTTACTGCACTATTATTTGATTAACGGGCTGTGAGGATGATGAACCTGCACACTGGAGGAGCAGCTACTACCGTGGTGATGAAGGGATATAATAACGGTCGCTATCCTCGGAATTCTCTCTACAGTGACTGCATTATAGAAGAAAAGGCAGTGGTCCTGCAGAAAAAAGACAATGAAGGATTTGGGTTTGTGCTCAGAGGGGCCAAAGGTATGTAGATTTCTTCTTCTTCTTTTTGTATCTGTGTGATTGGGGGAGTGCTTGTGTGAAAAATGGCATGCATTTCTGAAAATAAACAGGCATTATTCCTTATGCCTTTGGTTGCTAGACAACAGTGTTCTCTCTGTGCAGGAGAGTACCGATATGGATTTACTGGTTTCTGATCGAGCAGTTTTGAGTGTGTGTGTGTGTCTGTCTATCTGTGTGTGTATGTGTGTGTGAAAGAAATAATTGATTTGTGGAATAATTCAGGGGAGAAGTTGTCTAAATATTTTGCATGCCTGAAACCATCCTTGCTGGGGGGGAAATAATAAAAATGCTTCACGTAAAGAGTCATTCCGCTAAAATAATGTGCCAGTTGAAGGGGCATGTTTACTTTTTTCCTTGAAATGGTTTTGCAGCTTATTCAAAGTAAAACTACTGCAGCTTTAGGAAGAAAATCAGGTCATTTTTTTGTATTTTCATAAGCTGCAGGCATGTCAGATGGCCTTTTAGTATGTGTACTGTTTGAAAACTGCTTGTGTCTAAATATGCCATTTCTTTCCTATGCAAAATCTGTTTCCGTAGGTTTATACAGCAAATATAATGATCTGTGATCTGTTTTACTCTTTTGGCAAATTTTATAAGTGGTGGTATATCCCAGTGTCTGTTATTAACCTCCCCCCTCCCCCCCAGTTAATAAATGGGCTGTTCCTTAGACTGCTGTCTTCAAGGAAAGGCTATACCATATCTACTTTATGGAGGAATCTCCACACCCTTATCTAGGAATACCACTTTCCTCACTAGAGTGTGGTAAATACCTATTGGGTTCCCCTTGCTATGTAACAGATTCACTCTCCTGGCTAAACATACGTTTTGGTGGGGTCGTCTGGAAACCCAGTGACTTCATCACTGTGTCGATCAGCTGGCGCTGAGCTATCTATGCAGCAAACAGAGCTCCCTCACTATACATCTTAATTTCACATGGAGTGAGTTCTTCAGGTTAAAAATTCAAATGCCCATTGAAAACATATACTTCAAACTGTACTAATGTTTTTCCAAAGGTGGTTTACCTTTATCAGAACCGTATATGACAAACATAAAGCATGTATGTGAATCTCATACAGAATTGTGTCTAATGCACAATTATAGGATCCTCCTGTTGGATTTAATGTATTTACACCATACTAAGTGCTAACTATGTAATTATCTGCTTTTGAATACTTAAAATTCTTGATGCACTTCTATGAGGATTTAAAACACTATTTTCAGATGTAATCTACGTTATCAAATTCATGGCTTTATGTTTATTAGTAGTTAAATTCACAGCTTTATTCATTTGCTGATTAAACCCAAGAGTAATATGCAAGAAAATAGGAAGATAGATAGATAGATAGATAGATAGATAGATAGATAGATAGATAGATAGATAGATAGATAGATGTGGACTGTTTTACTTAAAGGCTTTCTGATCTTCTAACAGGCAATATTTTATGAAATAACATTTCATGTTTTAAAAGTTTATTCAAATATGTCATTTATTATTCCTAAAGCTGATACACCAATTGAAGAATTCACACCAACGCCAGCCTTCCCTGCTTTACAGTACCTGGAATCAGTTGATGAAGGAGGGGTAGCATGGCAAGCTGGCTTGAGAACAGGAGACTTTTTGATAGAGGTAGGAAAATATGGTTAATTATTCTGGTGGGGATGAAAAATGCTATCCTGGTTTAGGGAAACTGGTCTTTCTGTCTATAGGCAGCAAGGCCTACAGGTAGTCCTCAACTTACAACCATTCATTTAGTGACTGTTCAAAGTTACAATTCAAAGTGATTTACAAGCAATCCTCACACAACTGAAATGGCATCCCTGTGGTCATGTGATCAAGATTTGGATGCTTGGCAACCAGCATGTATTTACAATAGTTGCAATGTCCTGGGCTCATGGGATCATCACTTGCAACTTTCCCAGCCACCTTCTGGCAAGCCAAGTCAATGGGGGAAGCTGGATTTGCTTAATGACCACATGATTAACTTAACAACTGCAGTGATTCGCTTAACAACTATGGCAGAAAAGGTCATAAACCTGGCCACAACTCATTGCCTTGCTTTAACAACAGAAATTCTGGTTTCCATTGTGGTCGTAAGTCGAGGACTATCTGCAGTTAGCTGTTTGATGCCATTACTTTTTGCATATTTGTTTTTAATTGTCTTATTTTTAATCCTGTTTTTTTAAATATTAACACAAGTTATATCATTATAGATGTGTAAAATCCTAAACCTTGATATGTCCAACCTTGGCAATCTTGACAACTTTAAGACCTGTAACTGACTGAGGGATTCTGGGAGTTTAAGTCCACAAGTCTTAAAGTTGCCAAGGTTCAGGAATACCCCTGTTCTAGAAAATACATTGTTTTACAGGTGAGAAGCCTCCAGGAGAGTGTCTGTTAGATTAATTCTTTCTCTACTTTGGGTAAATTTAATTTTAAGAAGAAATGAATTAATTCTTGTGTATAATACTGTGTGTAAAAATGAGTTCTCATTATTAGATTTATCATTCACATACATAGCAGCAAGTAAGAGCCATTTGGTGTAAAGGTAGTAATTCCATCTTTATGATAGAAGAGATGCCAATATTTCCCCCCTGGCATCATTGGAAAACTTTGTATATTCATTTTAATGATAGATATCTTGGAGTTTGATTGGTTTTTAATCACTTGAAAGAGAAAAGTGTATCAAATTATTAGGAGTATTGGGAGTAAATGTATAAACATGTTTCACAAAAATGAATTTTGTTGGATACCTGATTTCAAATGTTTATTTTAAAATATAATTTCCAGACTTAAGATACTTGTTTTTTTTTAATTTGTGCATGTGACACCTGGATTAAGATATCTGTACATTTTAGCCTATACTCTCAGTGGTAAACCAGACTTCAGAAATACAAAACTGAGATCTTTCTGATTTCTTAACATTAAGTTTTCTTGGTTATATTGATTTTAGCAGTATATATTGGAATAAAATGCATTGGACATTTGGTCTTTCTGTTTGTATAATCTCTGAATATTTGTCTTTAGATATTTTGCATAGTATTAATTTGCAGGTTGATTTTCATACTGTTGTCAATTTGCTATTTAGAGAGTTTATTTGGGAGATTATTGCATGGATATTAAAATTTAAACTTCAACTTCAAGGGCATTTTAATGTTTAGTCATTGTTCATAATGCAGTAACTAACCACATGTGTATGACAGAATATACTGCAAAGGTGGTATGGTGGTCATAATTTAAAGACATGAATAGGCTAGACCTGAAAACTGACACGGCCTGTAAGATTTTGAGATTTTGTTCTGTGAAGAGCAAATATTTTTGCATGCCCTGAGGTTTCAGAATGAGTTTACTATGAGGAATGCGTAGATTGCTGCTCAAGAAACACAAGCTCCAAACCTCTTTCTACTGTGAAAGTTCTTAAATGTGGTTTTGGATGCTGGCCAATGCCACAAACTGTAAGTGTATGCCAGCATTGCAGTGATACCTCTCTTGGGTTGCTAAAAGATATAGAGGAATAATTATCTAGGGTTGGCGTTCAGTAAAATGTAGAATGATAAACTCAGAATTTACAAGATTTATGAAAACATATTGGGCTTTCTGTAGGATAAGAGATTTTCTAGAAACTTAATTCAAACTTTTGGTTATGCAGATCCATATGTCTTTTCAGCTGTACAGATATTTTTGGGAATGGTTTTTTCTTTCAGCAGCTGTCTTGAAATACATTACTGTATATAAACTTTTTTTCACTTTAGTTTGTATACATGTAGTAAGTAAACAAGTAAACTGCATGCTTGGAGAACAATGTTGCAATGCTTGCATGTTCTTTGGAACTAAAACTTATTAGAAACAATGACATCTAAATAAATTTGAACAGAATTGTTAAGTACTCGGAAATCTATGTTTCCCTTTCAGATGGAATGTCTGCATTGTATAGTAGTCAGAGTAATAAATTATTATAATTTGGGAACTGAACAACACCCTTAGCAGTTCAAGTAACTGGAAGCAATAAAATTGAGGGTTATTGTAGGGAAGAGGAGTACTATGTACCGGTATGTTATTTATATATATATATATATATAAAAAAAAAAGTGGAATAAAAAACAAGTAGAGAAGAAAGAAGAAAAAGAAATGGAAACGGTCCCAGATGACCATAGGCATGGTCAGGGAGCATTCTCAGATATTATTGTCTGTGCAGATTTACAGTACAAGTTCCTAGATCTCAAACACAGAATACTATATCACATAATTTTGTAACATTTTATCAAAGAAATCCTTTTTTCATTTAAAAATGCTATTAATTTAATGTTTTGTCAGATTTTGTTTATTTTGGATATCATCTTTAAGGGTCATGGTGAAGGTATATTTCTAGTTATGTAATAGGACCTCATATTTCTCTTCCCCTTCACCCCCCAAATCCCCACTGCATTGCATCTTATCAGCTCTGGATGACCCTCTAATCTTTTACAGCAAATCTCTGAAGAAAAAGAGAATCTGTTCCAAAGTATGATAGAAATATAGCTTTCACCAGCTGGTTACTTTTGGATGCAGCCCAAGATATTAACACTTTTGTCTAGTACACAGTTCAGTTTTTCTATTAAGCCCCGTTATTTTTAAAGATTGCTAACATAACCAAATTTTAAAATAAGTCTGTATATTACCATTTTTCACCCTACTGAAAAGAGAACTCTGCAAAGATTAGCCACTTCAGCCATTTTTAAAATAAGAATATACCAAGAAAAATTGGCTGAGTCAGTCTGTCTTTGGCAGTGGAAAAAACAACAACAGCAACAACTGGCACTCTATTTTGTAAGCAAAGCCTGTCCCACATAATGCCCATGATGAATGATCAATTGCCTGCACTTTTAATTACCACATTAATGTTGCACAATATTAATTCTAAATTATAATATAGGAATCATGAACATTATATTTTAAATACATTTGTTAATGAGGAATAGTTTTCTGAATTCACAATTTTTCTGCTAGTATATATTTGAGGACGTTGCTTGGATTTTAAAAAAAATTGCATACATATTTCATCTGAAGAACAATTAATTCCAGTAAGAACACTAAGTAAGGTTCACATGTTCTTTTCACTGCTGTGAAATTGGATTATGATAATTTTGGCAATGACTGGACTTAATGCTTGTTGCCAAGTGATAGAAAATCCTCAGTGACTCAGATATTTATAATATTATATGCTTGTCCTCAACTTCAGGGATATAGCTGGAGTGCTATTATTGTAAAGGAAAAGTAAACTTATACAGGTTATTAATGCTTGTCCTGCGTCTTTTGTTTAAATATATTTTAAACAAAAACAGAATAATTTCCACTTACAATTTTATAAATGCATTAAAAAGGTTTATTTCAAATTATTCTTCCAAAAGTTTATTTCCTGATTCAGAAATGAAGTTAAAACGATGAGGTATAAACATAAATCATAGATGTTGGTATTCAACTATTAAATTAAAACAGCACTAAAAACATATTGAAAACTTTAAAAGCCTGTAAGTCTTTGATAAGAGAGTCTTCAGTTGATATTGCAAAGTTTACAGGATAGATGCCCGTTAAACTTCTCTGTGGAGGATGTTTCACATGTCTGGCACTTCTAGCAATAACAATAGCACTTAGACTTATATACTGCTTCACAGTGCTTTACAGCTCTCTCTAAGCGGTTTACAGAGTCAGCATATTGCCCTCAAGAATCTGGCTCCTCATTTTATCGACCTCGGACGGGTGGAAGGATGAGTCAATCTTAAACCGATCAGAATCAAACTCTTGGCAGTGAAGAGTGAGTTAGCCTGCAGTACTGCATTCTATCCACTGTGCCACCACAGTTCCTAGTGTTACTACAGCTCCTTTAATAAAACCATGTCTATTAAAAAAGCTTCCTTTGCCAGTGACCATATCATTTATTTGTGTGCACAAGAAGCTGACTTCGCTGAGCGAAGTGGCTTCTTTCTGACAATCTTACTAGTTTTTTTTTTTTTTTAATTGATTTATATGCCGCCCTTCTCCGGAGATTCAGGGCGGTTTAGAATGCGTTAAGCAATAGCCTTCATACTTTTATATATTTATACAAAGTCATCTTATTGCCCCCATACTCTGGGTCCTCATTGGTTCATGCTTAATGATTGTTGCATGCTTAATGTGGCAGTCATTGTCTGACTATATATTTATAGTGAATGTGTTCTATTAATTATAAGTATTGTTCTCTACTAGACCATTTTTGCAGGGTCAGCCAGTCAAACCTTCCAAATGATTTGTTAGAATAGGTTCAGCATGTTTATTCCTTCTCGGGTATCAATTCTGCTACTTTAGATGCAGGCTAGCATTCTGGTTTTGTGATTTTTCTGAAATTTGAATTGTGTGCTTTTTCAAAAAAAAGGCTTACTGACAACACTAGCCTATTTAGTGCTGAGAGCCAAACTGCTATATATACTTTTAAAAAAAAATCCTTAAAAATAATTCTTATCTTATCTGGATTTATTTTGTAAGTGTGAGAAGTTTTGCTCATTTATCTTTTGTATAGAAGTGATTGGCTTTTGGGGGGGGGAGAAAAAGCAATTAAAATGTCCCTTTGTCCCTTCACTTCTCATTGTACTGCACAGAAATGAAGAATAAAAAGT